CAGAAGGTGGCCAGAGTCGAATCAGCTTATGTGGTCTCAGAACTAAGCTTAAAATCCCAGATGCCAGCCCATCTTCTAAGAATAAGTCACTACGCATTTATTAGCGGCCTATTGTGACCTTAAATGGTTTTTTTCAGTGGTTAGTGCATCAGCCCTCAGACTGAAGGGTCTTGGGTTCGATTCTAGTCAAGGGCACCTATCTTGGTTGCAGGCTCAATCTCGGGAGGTAACCAATAGATGTCTCTCTCTCACATCCGGCGTTTCTCTCTCTGTGTCTCTCCTTTTCCCTTCCACTCTCTCTAAAAATCAATAGAAAAAATATCCTAGGGTGAGGATTAACAAAACAACAACGTCTATTGGGTGTCTGAGAGCTACTCTGTCTGTAAAGTAATGCAAAGAATTATATAAGACAAGTCTTTTATCTCCAGTAATTACTACATTGCTTAAACAACAAGACTTGAACCTTCAGGCCAGGCCAGTGTGCCACAAAATCAAGATTCTGAAGTTCTCTCTCCCCAGCACCAGCCTCTGACAGAAGCAGGTCGCCACAGCTATATTTTCTAACATGTGACTTTCTCCTTTCCTGGCCTGCTCCCCTGCTCCTGACCCAGGAACTAGCCCTGGGCCAGAATGAGGGACTGAGGGCTGCTTGCTACAAAGAGATGAACAGGGTCCCTGGGTTCTTTCTCTTTCTAATATGAAGAGAAAAGTATGAAGTGACTGTGCTAGCAGCAGCTGGGTCTAAAGTTAGAAGGTCTAGGAGCTGGGGGTGGGTTGGGGTGGGACAGAGTGGGGGACTTGACCATTGCAGGTTCAAGATAAAACAGAATAGAGAGGAGGAAACTGGTGGGGAAAACCCTACAGAAAGAGAGGTGATACCAGGAACTGGCTCAGCTTTTTTCTAATTCCAGACCACATTTATCCAGACGCAGGAGTGCAGCTGTGCAAAGCAGGGAACTGTACCCACTCAGGAAGGACAGAGCAGTGAGTGGAAGTAGTAATTGAAGATGAAGAGCAAAGGGAAGGGCCCAGATCATGTCACTCTCAGGCAAGGTTCCTCAGCCTCAGCACTAGTGACATTTTGGGCTAGATAGCTATTTGTTGTCCTGTGTATCGTAAGATGTTTAGCAACATCCCTGGCCTCTACCCACTAGATGTCAGTAGCAACCTCCTCCCCTATTGTAGCAATAACAACAGAAACAATACATAAAAAAGTATTCCAGACACTGCCAATGCCCCGTGGGGACAAAATCACCCACAGTGGAGAGCTTCTGCTCTCAGGAGGTTGAATTTAAACCTGTCAGCAACGGGAAGGCATTTAATGATTTAAGTACAGGGAGCAGTAAGATCAGACACGCTTTTCAAAAGAATGCAGCAGTGCGGAGGTCGACTGTGGAGGGACAAGTAGGGAGGCAGAAGGACCAGCAGACAAATGACACTGTTTGGTGACCATCATGAACACGTGAACCAAGACAGCAAGAGTGGAGACAGAAAAGAGAGTATTAAAGCAAATTACAATGGTAGAGTTAGACAGGATTCCAGGGCACAATTGGACATACCGTTTGAGGGGAAGGGAGAAATGGTAGGAAATTACTTGGTTTCTGGTTTGGCAATTTAGGTGGCTGCAGTGAGGGTCATTACTTAGGATAGGAAATTTAAAAGGAAGAACGTGTTTAAAAAATAAGTATAGTTTTAAACAGAATAAAAGTCTGAGTTAAGTGTTGGATATCCAGGCAATGAGGTTAGTAGAGTTAGGGTTCAGCTAGCCAACAGTTACAGTACCCGCTATGTGTCAGGCCCTTTACAAGTATTAACTCACTTAATCCTCACCATATCCACTGAGATAAGATAGTAACTGCTGTCACCAACCTTACAGATGGGGAAACTGCTGTCTGGAGAAGTCAAGGAACTTCTCTAAGATTCCACAGCTAGCAGGTTTTGGAGCTGGCATCCAAACTCAGCCTGTGCTCTGAACCACTATACTCTACTGCCTGCCTCCGGAGACAAAGAGAAAGATCAGGATTATTTTATACAAGTGCACAGAGGTGAAGCTATAGGCATATATGTGAACTCCCAGGAAAAATGAGCAGAGAGAAAAACAACAATTTAGGATGAAAGATTAGAGAAAGTATCTGTTAAGCCAAATGTGAGGGAGGAGCTAGAGGAAGGAGCCAGTTGGGGGACAACACAAGAGGAGAAGTCTTAAGGGCAGCAAGTAATGATATCCTTGTAACCCACAGCAATCCCTTACATACAGTCTACTTTTTATAAATGTTTTTACTTGAATTAATAAGCCTCGTCGCAAATAATGATATCAAATATCCATGCTTATAGCATATTCTGAATCTTCATAGATGAGCAAAACCTAAATCATGTTTGTGATTTTTCTAGAATACCAAATTTGTAGAAGACATGTTGTCATTAAATATAAAACAGTAGCTTAGACACCATATGAAATCATTCCTTAAATTTATATCCAGCTAAAAAGGTTTTTAAAAGCTTTATTCACATCCTATTTTCTCAGCAATGAAGCATGTTACTGTTTTGCATTTTGGTAAAGATCACATGAAATATTGGCTCTTTTAAGTGTTGCAACTGGCAGATATAAAACTGTACAGTCGCTTCCTGAAAGAGGATTTAGAAAATGTCTATGGAAACTAATGCCTTCTCACTTGAAGGAGTCACTAGAGCATCTGGTGAACTGGGTTGCACTGTTATGATAAATCAGTGCATCTAAACAGTGTTTGTTATGCATCCGTTCCTTATCATACTTTACAGTTCTGTACCCTAAGCACAAACATTTAGTACAAAATGAGTTTCCTCACGATGAAAAAAGGTTGGCCCCATTTCCAATTCGAGACAAGTGTTTTCTAAGAAATAAATCTTGATTTCCAAGCCCAAATTCAAAGTGCTTTCCAAACTTTAATATACAAATCATGTGGGGATTCTGTTAGAATGAAGATCTGATTCGGGGTGTGACGCTAGTGGACACTGCCTTTCTAACAGGAAATCACCGTCCTGGGTGATGCGGACGCTCTGGTCCTCACTCTGCACCACTGCGGCCCCTGGGCCAGCGCTGGTAGCACAGGGCACGGCACAGAACTGCACGCCCCTCTGTGCCAAACAGGGCATGCTAACATCACTTCTGCTGCAAACGATGACTCTAGAAGTTTACATTAAATTATTTCTTTTAAATCATTTACGATTCACTCATTCACATTTTTTATTCTGTTGCCTTCTTTCCTCTCTATTGCTTTCATTATCCTAAGCTGCGATCTGACCGTGAAGGCCTCAGCTGGTTCTTTGAGGTTTCTCTCCTATAATCCCTGTAATAGGCTGAATGGGGCAGGTTATTTTCTAAATATGAACCATGCTCTCCCCCACATCCCTCTTTTTTTGGTTTGGTTTGCTGTGGTTGATGCTTTCCTCTCTCAGGCCATCTCTCTCTGTTTACTTTGCCTAATTTCTCAATGAGATGTGATCTCACTACTCCCTGAACAACCTCTCACCACAGGAACTTTTCTTTCATTCTAATGTTTATGACAGTCTGTTGTATGTAATATATGTTGGTGCTTGTCATATCTCCACTACTCAAGTACTAGCTACCTGAGGGCAGGAAATTTTATAACTAAATACAACTCCATTAAAATAAAGTCAAAGCTCTACTCCTTACTGATGCTAAACGTGATCAAAATATTCCCAAATCACAAATCTAAATTAGGGCTTTTATTTCTCCAAAATGATGGGTTTTCCACTTTAGTCATCACACATAGAAAACTGGGCACAGTGCTTTATTTGCATTTTTTCCAACTCTTATACCTAGAAAATTTTTATTTAATCTTGCTTCATATATTTTATAAGAATTTAAGTTCTAAACCAGCTCATCTGGCGTTTTCATACTGAACAGGCCAAATGTCCACATTCTAGCCCCTGTACCTGTGAGTATGTTACCTTACATGGCAAAGGGGCTTGCAGTGATGATTCAGTTAAGGCTTGAGATGGCAGATTATCCTGGGTTATCTGGGTAGGGCCCAGGCAATAACAAGAATCCTCAAAGTGGAAGAGGAGATGTGATGGGATGTGAGGAAGACTCAACAACCTACTGTTGGGGCCTTGCAGATGGCGGAAGGGGTCATGAGCCAAGGAATGTGGGCAGCTTCTAGCAGCTGGAAAAGGCGAGGGAACATTCTCCTGTAGAGCAATCAGAAAGGGTTGCAGCCCTACTGACATCTTGATTTAGCCCAGTGAAACCGTGTTGAACTTCTAATACAGAATGATATAACAAATTTGTGTTGTTTTAAGTCACTACTTTGTGGCAGCAATAGGAAAATAATATGCTATAAAAAGAAACTATATGGTATAAAAACTATATGGTATACCAATATGCTATAAAAAGAATTCTACAAGACACACACAGGTAACTCCTCAGAAGGGAAGTGTGATGCTCTACAAAAAGCTCAACGAATATGTTAATTAAAATGTAGTTTGCATTACTAAGAAATATGCCTGCGTCTCTTAAAAAGCTAGTATAGCCTTAGCCGGTTTGGCTCAGTGGATAGAGCGTCGGCCTGTGGACTGAAGGGTCCCGGGTTCGATTCCGGTCAAGTGCACATGCCCGGGTTGCAGGCTCCTTCCCTAGTAAGGGGTGTGAAGGAGGCAGCCGATCAATGATTCTCTCTCATCATTGATGTTTCTATCTCTCTCCCTTTCCCCTCCTCTCTGAAATCAATAAAAAAATATATATATTTTTAAAAAGCTAATATACAAAGCTTAAAACCAGATTTATAAAATGGTTGAAAGTAAATACAATTAATTTTGATTGAAAAGTTAGGTTAGTAACAGAGAAGAACAAGGTATTTTCAACCAAACAGGTAATAAAAATTAAGTGTGATGATTTGCTACTCTTATAGGTAACATTTAAAAAGGAAACATCATCCTATCCTTTTCCATAGGACAGCCAGAAAACAAAAATCAGGATTTCTTTTAAAGCTCATATTTACCTGATGATCCTCTGGGCAGCATACTGATGGAGAGAACGGAACTGGGCTGACATATTTGCTAAAGCTGCCAAACAATTTGTGTGAAGGTACTTGTCCTGTCAGGAAACAGCAAGTTGAAAACATTCATCAAGTCTTCTCTGCGTTGTAAGCAAGGCTAATTAGAAGCAAATGTAAACTCGATTTTCATTGATTGTTGAAAGCTCAGGTCCACAATCATTTTCCCTAATTCCAAAAACCGATAAAGCACTGAAAGTTCAAAGTGTTTTCACCACGCATTTGGAAGCAACATCTGGCAAAGAGCATAGGCTATTTGTGGTCCTCATTACCCTGCCCTGGTGAATACTGAAGTATTCTGCTGCAGAAATATTAATGTTTAATTACAGTGTGCTGCTCCAGAACCTAATGGCTACATATAGTAAGCATCTGCTCTATAATTATCTTTCTAAAATCAAAACATTCTCCATTCTAACACACATCTGGCTCCTAGCGTTTCAGATAGAAGATTCTGAACATGTATCTACGTTAGCCCCACAGAGGAAATAATTGAAAACAGGTCAGTAAACTTGACCATGTCTCTGAGTTATGAATTCTGTATATGGCTTCTCTATTGACCGGGACTGAAATTTGCCCCCAGGTACTGCAAATACAATCCAGTTGAAATTTTCCCTTTACTCTTTAAAAGTGGTCTTTCTTCTATTTTCCTCCCAACTGAATTCATTTTTCTTCTACTCATATCTTCTTAGTTTGCTGTTGTTTTTAAAAGGCAAATCAGTTTTATCAGTCCAGCAAAGATGTACAGCATCTTTTATTTAAATGTGTTCCACTGCTTGTTTTTGATCTCATGTAAAATGTCTCTAATCATGCAGTCTATTAAATATTAAGAAACAGATACTATATATAGTACCTTAAGATCATGTAATACAGTGACTATAAGCTGATCTGTATTTTTCTACTGTACTTCATGAGAACATTGGCACTCTCAATATTGAGAGTGCTTTCAACTATAGTCTTAATCGCACCATATGCATTATAGATAATAGAGCAGCTTTGGAATACTTACTCTTGTCCTTGTCATGTTGTACTGAATGGTTCTTATTACGACCAGTATTAGGAGACTCCCCAGTGAAATTTCTGTTAAAACCCGTTCTGAATACCAAGTAATATTTTTTAATATCTGTAATGGGGAAGAAAAGTTTAAGTTAACATGAGTGACTTAGGAAAAAAGGACTGTCCATGTCTATATAATTTCAGATAAGCCGTGGCTATGCTCTGAGTTAAACAGAATATACTAGTAAAAGTGCATTGTGAGACTTTGAGTTCAAGATAGCCCAACTGTGCTGTGTTTACGTCTCCTTCCCCCTTGCTTCTTAAAAACAAAAGAAAGAAAAAAACCAGGTCTGGAAGACGGGAGATTATCATTAGTAGACAAACAGGAGGTATGGCACATAGGACAGGACTGAGAGAAAAACAGTCAGAGCTCAGCAGTCTGAAAGCGAACATAAGAAAACCAAGGAGTTTCTCGAGAAGTAGAGCTCTCCCAACCGCAGAAAGCTCCATGCTGTGTTCAGGGGAAGGCCAGGAATGCAAACAGCTACGATCTTCCAGAACAACTGTCCCTATGTTCTGTTCTGTCTACTCAGAGCAGGCAGCTCACCTCCAGGCCTCAGTAAGCAAGAACTGTTTTCTAATTTAAGTTGGCACAGTTTCACTGTAGATTTGTAACATGGGTATCAGAGAGAGAGAGAAAATAGGTAGACACGGGATGCACTATTTTTCATGAAAACCTAGTACTTCCATATAAACTGCCAGTTACAAAAACAGTCACAGGATGTGAAGTACAGCATAGAGAATATAGTCAGTAATCTATATATATAAAAGCCTAAGCAACCAGCCGACCGGCCCTATGACACGCACTGACCACCAAGGGGCAGACGCTCAACACAGGAGCTGCTGAGCGACAGAAACTTTGCAGGGTGCCCTCTCGCACTCCAGGACCCCTCGGGGGATGTCAGACTGCCGGTTTCGGCCCAATCCCCACAGGCCAGGCCGAAGGACCCCTGCCGGCCACCTTCTAATTAATTTACTTTCAATGTGCATGAATCCGTGCACTGGGCCTCTAGTATTGTAATAACTATGTATGGTGCAGGGGGTTCTAGACTTCTCATGGAGATCACTTCATAAGGTATTTAAGTGTCTAATCACTGCTGTAAATCTGAAACTAACATAGTATTGTGTCAACTATAATTGAAAAATAAAATTTAAAAAAACCTACTACTTCTTTCTATATGTTTTAACACTATGTCTATACATTACATGGACACAAACATTTTCAATGTTATAAAGAAAATACCAAAAAGGGAGATAAAATCAATTTGGGAATGTAATTCACCAGCAAGACTAATATTTAAAGATTAAAATTATATTACACTGTCTTTTTTTCTAAGTTTATCATGAATTTTATATATAATTGATTTTAGAGAGGAAGGGAGAGGGATAGAGAGATAGAAACATCAATGATGAGAGAGAATTATTGATCGGCTGCCTCCTACATGCCTCCAACTGGGGATCGAGCCCCAAACCCTGGCATATGCCCTGACAGAGAATCGAACCGTGGGCTCCTGGTTCATGGGTTCACGCTCAAGCACTGAGCCATGCCAGCTGGGCATATTACATTGCCCTTTAAAAAATAAAACAACTGATTTCTCAGTCTTCTTCCCTTTATTCCATATTCTTTCACTCATTCTGTAAACAGAGGGCAAACCTGTTGGACAATTTCTGTCTCTACTGAAAAGTGGACATGAAATGAAGAAGAAAAATGAACCCAGTGGCAACAAAAACATTTGCCTCAATTACTAAAGAAACCATTTTGAGAGTTTTTTTAATAGTCTACTAGTCTCCTAGTCATTCAGAAAAAAACAAACACCATTTGATAAATGGTTCACAGATGATTTCTAAGTCAGGTTCTCTCAGAAACAGCTACCAGAAGGAAAAGAAGGAAGAAATGCTAAGCCTCAGTAAAATGTCTGGCGGGACATATCGATTCTGAAACTCTAACTCTAATCGAAGTAATGGGGACTTACCACTTCGTGAATGGACCTATTGAAGCCATCATCTTCTGTAAGGATCAACAATATTATAAGCGCCATATACACGTGGTGTGAGTTTCTTTCTTCAACATGATACAGAATCTCAAGAATTGGTAAAACCTAGGGAATAGAAATTTTACTTTACTGCTTCTATCACATTATTATGAGACCAATGTCTTAAACTTTTATACTTTTGTTATCTACCCTTTGCTTAACTTCATAGTTACATTTTTCTTTAGAGAAAAAGACACACAAACCCGTCTCTGACTGAAAGGACTTTCCACATGAATAGCTAAGACGCCAGCAGAGGAAATCACCACCGAGTTGCTTCTGCTGACACATGAAGGGTGGGTTTGCAGAGACCACGTAGGCTCCCAGTCAACACGGACCTGAACAGAGGCAGGTCTGCCTCCAGCCTACTAGGAACTTACACACAATAAAGTATTCTCAGGAACACTGTCATGTGTCAAACACTACCTTCCTAATAACAAAAACTGTAAAAGAAAAGAATTGCTACCTGACAAACATCAGATCAGCACAATAAATTTTCTACCCATAACATATCTTCTCATCGTAGCTTCAACAAGTATTTACTATTGAAGAAAGGGAAAAGGACAGATAGAGACATCAGATGAGACATTATCAGAGTAACCTATGCAAGAAATGTAAAAACAACAAACAAATGGAGAAACCCTACTCCACCCTCCCAAGTAAAAACAAAATCTTTTAACTTTTCACTGGTGTATATCATATATAGACAACTGCTCCTGCATCATTTAAAAAAAAAAAAGATCTTAGAGAAAGGGAGGGAGAGAGAGACAGAGAGAAACAGTTGGTTGCCTCCCACACGTGCCCCAACTGGGGCTCATACCCATAACCTGGGTATGTGCCCTGACTGGGAATCGAACCCACCACCTTTTGGTGTACAGGATGACACTCCACCCAACTGAGCCACACCGGCCAGGTCATCCCTGCATCATACCAACCTCTATACCACAGAACTTTCCAGAACAGGTGATGTCACAGGCTTTCTGCTTATTGTTATCATTTCCCTTAGAATACATCTTACTCAGAATTGTCTGTGCTCAGTAAACAGACCTTCTTGCTGTAAGTTTTCACTCACATAGGTAGTACACTGTTATACCCGATTTTGCTATTTAAGCCAATGTTTTCCACGTATAGGTATGGAGATAAGTTCTTTTATCATGTTTTTTATCCTCACTGTCACTTTGACATAGGACATGCTCTTCAAATGAATTTTAATATCCCACACTACTCAGTATTCTATCTTTAACACTAAAAAAAAAAAGGCTACCAAATGCCTCGTGAATCCTGCTGTCAACCTGTCAAAACCAGTGCAGAGGGGACATCCCTTTGGCTGCCAGCAGTGGGCGGCTGGTAAAGACCTAACGGACAGGGAAGCTGTGGTGCTGCTGCCTTCTCCACTCTGTGGTGCCATCTCTACGTGCTCTGTCTCCTACATTGCCAAGCTCATACCTTTGCCTATCAGGTGACATCTCCCCGTTGATTTCTCAACCATCACCTTGTAGCAACCAAGCAAATACACTGCCCCTCTGGGGAAAAGAAATTATTCTTCAAAATACTATAAAATACAAAAAGCATGAAATGTTTAGCATGATACTTACAAGATTTTCCATATCTGTGCGAGCCAACATGTACGTTCTAATATTACTATTCTGATGGAGCAATGTATACAATAGGAGAGTTGCCTGATCAGACGTCTGCTGCTCACACAGAGTCGTGTACAATCCCTGCATCATACCAACCTCTATACCACAGAACTTTCCAGAACAGGTGATGTCACAGGCTTTCTGCTTATTGTTATCATTTCCCTTAGAATACATCTTACTCAGAATTGTCTGTGCTCAGTAAACAGACCTTCTTGCTGTAAGTTTTCACTCACATAGGTAGTACACTGTTATACCCGATTTTGCTATTTAAGCCAATGTTTTCCACGTATAGGTATGGAGATAAGTTCTTTTATCATGTTTTTTATCCTCACTGTCACTTTGACATAGGACATGCTCTTCAAATGAATTTTAATATCCCACACTACTCAGTATTCTATCTTTAACACTAAAAAAAAAAAGGCTACCAAATGCCTCGTGAATCCTGCTGTCAACCTGTCAAAACCAGTGCAGAGGGGACATCCCTTTGGCTGCCAGCAGTGGGCGGCTGGTAAAGACCTACGGACAGGGAAGCTGGGGGGCTGCTGCCTTCTCCACTCTGTGGTGCCATCTCTACGTGCTCTGTCTCCTACATTGCCAAGCTCATACCTTTGCCTATCAGGTGACATCTCCCCGTTGATTTCTCAACCATCACCTTGTAGCAACCAAGCAAATACACTGCCCCTCTGGGGAAAAGAAATTATTCTTCAAAATACTATAAAATACAAAAAGCATGAAATGTTTAGCATGATACTTACAAGATTTTCCATATCTGTGCGAGCCAACATGTACGTTCTAATATTACTATTCTGATGGAGCAATGTATACAATAGGAGAGTTGCCTGATCAGACGTCTGCTGCTCACACAGAGTCGTGTACAAACTGTTAAAATTAATCTGGAAAGCATGTGGAATTGACGAGGGGAAAGGACTGTTATCTGGAATACAGAAAACAGAAAATTTTTTAAATATTTCATCAGTATTTTCTAGACTATGCCCTTTATAAATAATAAAAGCCCACTCATGTATATAATTCAATTCCCATTAATTTTATATGTTGCTACCTTTCAGATTCGAAATTTCAATTTATATTTAAAATTCTACTTTAAAAATAACTAAATGTAAAACAATACAGAGGTGATAATACAGTATTGTATAACTGAAATTTTCTGAGAGTAGAACTAAAACAGTCTCACACACACACACACAAAGAATAAAAAAACACTGGACCAATTTATTTCTCTGTAGCATCTAAGCATCTTTCCAATGGTTATGTGCACCATCCCTTATTTAATCCAGGCAATAACCATGGCATTGCTCACACCAGTTTTACAAAGGATGAAATAGAAGCTCAGAGGGATTAAGTACATTTTCCAAGATCAGCCCTGAGTAAAAAACAGATCAATTAGCTTCTATTGTTTTCATGACATAATACTGCTTCTTTAATAATAGCAATAATTCAGGGAGTCAGTACTATGACAGATGCTCATTTAATTCTTATAAAAACCTTAAGCTATAGAGATTATAACTTCTGCTTCATGAATAAAGAAACTAGTATGGGAGAAACCAAGATGGCGGCATAGGTAAACACCGGAAATTGCTGCCTCCGACAACAACTTCAAAAATACAACTAAAAGACAGAACGGTCATCATCCAGAACCACAGGAAGGCTGGCTGAGTGGAAATTCTACAACTAGAAGGAAAGAGAAGAGCACACAGACTCAGAGGAGCTACGAAAGTAAAGTGCAGAGGTACGGAGGCTCCGGCGCG